TCTTCGCGTTGCTGGAGCTGTTGAGTCCGCGGGGCGGCGCAGCTAGCTGTGTGTGGCTAGCTGTCCCTGGGGACTGGGCCTTTGGAGCAAAGCGGCTCAGCTAGCTAACTAGCTAGCTAGCTAGCTAGTTAGCTAGCTGGCTAGCTAGCTAGCTAGCTAGCTGGCTGCGCTCACCTTTGGGGCAGAAGAGGGGCTCCGAGGAGCCTGCGGGGCAGTAGTGGCCTGCGCGAAGGAGACAGCAAGGAGACACTCGCTCTGCCGCTGCTGCTGCCGCTGCTGCTGCCGCTGCTGCTGCTGCTGCTGCTGCTGCTGCTGCTGCTGCTGCTGCAGGGGCCCACCGGCTGGACAGAGGCCGCCGGCGCTGGCGGAGGGGCAGAGGGGGGGGCCCCCCGAGGCCCCGGGGGCCCCGGGGGCCCCGGGGGCCCCCGAGGGACTGTCGGAGACAGCCTTATTTCCGCAATAACTGCCAGCAGCACAAGTCCCCTGCGGCTGCTGCAGCTGTCCCCTTCCGCAGTAGAGGCCGGGGGGACAGGGCCTGGCGAAGCGGGAGGCCCTGGGGCAGAAGGCCCCCAGGGGACAGGGGGCCCCCCCCTCCGTGGGGGCCCCCGGGGCCCCCTCCGAGGCCCCCAGGGCCTCCTCCAGAGTTGCTGCTGCTGAGGGGGCCCCCGAAGTGGACCCGGATATGCAGTAGAAGCCCCCCTCGCAGGCCTCCGGCTCTGCAGTCCCCGCGGCCTCGCAGAAGTGGCCTGCAGCAGCAGCAGCAGCAGCAGCAGCAGCAGTAAATCCGCGCAGCTCCAGCAGCAGCAGAAGCAGCAACAACTGCAGCAGCAGCAGCAGCAAACCCCGCCGCAGCAGAAGCAGCAACCACTGCAGCAGCAACAAAACAGCCGCAGCAGCAGCAACAGCAGCAGCAGCAGCAACAGCAGCAGCAGCAGCAGCAGCAGCAGCAGCAGCAGCAGCAAGACCTGCGGGGCAGGGGAGACAGGCGTCCTGGCTTGTGGCGCCTTGGAAGGGACTGTAGGAGCCTGGGGGACAAAGTTGCTGCTGCTGCTGCTGCGGGCAAAAGGCCCCGGGGGGACAGGGGACATACTGGCCGTTGCTGCAGCTGCTGCCGCTGCTGCAGCTGCTGCAGCGGGAGGCCCCAGCAGCAAACGAAGAAGAGCCAAGGGGACACTCCTGGGGCCCCGCGGAGCCTTGGGGACAGTAGAAGCCGAGGGGACAGAGGGCAGTGTGGGGCCCCACACTTCCCTCGGGACAGTAAAAGCCAGCAGCACAAGGGCCTGCTGCAGCAGCAAGTTTGCTGCTGCTGCAGTAGCTGCCCCCCGGGCAGGGCCTGCACTGCACGGGGGCCCCCAGCCCCGCTGCAGTACCCAAAGTGCCCCGCGGGCAGCCCGAGGGCCCCGGGGCCCCCGCCCCACACACCAGCCCCAGGGGACACTTTGCTGCTGCAGCAATTGCTGCTGTCCCCGCCCCACACTCGAGGCCCCCGGGGCACTCCAAGTCGGGGGCGGCGAGGCCCGAGGCTGTGCACAGCTGGCCTGCAGTGAAGGGACAGTTTGAAAGGAGACAGTTTGAAAGGAGACAGTTTGAAAGGAGACAGTTGGAAAAGGAGACAGTTGGAAAAGAGACATTTTGGAAAGGAGACAGTTGGAAAAGGAGACAGTTGGAAAAGAGACAGTTTGGAAAGGAGACAGTTGGAAAAGGAGACAGTTTGGAAAGGAAACAGTTCGAAGGAGAGAGTTTGAAAGGAGACAGTTTGAAGGAGACAGTTTGAAAAGAGACAGTTGGAAAAGGAGACAGTTTAAAGGAGGCAGTTTGAAGGAGACAGTTGGGAAAGAGACAGTTGGAAAAGAGACAGTTTGAAAAGGAGACAGTTTGAAAAGGAGACAGTTGGAAAAGATGGAGTTTGAGAAGATG